TTAAAATTCAAGTGAAAAGGATTACACATTCACGGATTGTGAATCTGTTGTGTGCATAAATTGTGATAAAAATTTAGTACTAATGTTGCACTTGATTCATTCTTTTGGGATGTAGGTGGGTTATTGAATGCTATATAATTTTATGAAGAGTTTCTTAAAAACTGACAAGTTATTGAAATGGGGGAGGGGGAAAAAATAGCAAAAAAATTGATGACATAGTTTATGGACGGCTCCTTCACAATTTATCTTTGCTATTATATGTAAGTCTATTATTATTTCATAACGGACATGGTATTTTTGTAAAGAATTGAGCAGAAAAAGTGCTTCATGATTTTCTAGAAGTCCCTGTCATTGCTAAATTAATAAAAATATAAAATATAAATGGTTGTTGTAAGTATTTTTAACCGGCAAATTAAGTTTTTTAAAAAACAGTTTAAAATTTATTTTTATTGTAGATATTTTTATTGTCGATATAGCACCGATGCTTGTTTGTTTACGTTTGTGATTAACGCTGTTATTTTTCCATAACCATGTAAACAAAAATTCTAACGATAATTGTAGTTGAAATGATTTATGTGATTGTTATAACTGATTTAAATATGCTATTGTTTTGTTTATTTTTTAATATTTTTCAACAAAATTTTAGTATTTTTTGTAAAAGCTAATTCGCTTTTCAACTGTCGAATCTAATTTGAAACTTCAAATAATCTAATTTAATTAGCAAAATAATAATTAACTAAAAAAAAAAATTAAAATTTTAATAAATAATTTATCGGAATCATTACTAATCAAATTGTTAGATTCAAATTCTTGAGTGCGACATAAAAAATCTAAGTTTGTAGCACCAAAGACATCGATTTTCTTGTTGATTTTTTGAGTTTTTTGTTGAATAATTAGATGTAGCCAATAACAAGATCATTGAAAAATTTAAAAAATTTGATTAACAAGAATTTCATATAAGATTAAATTTTAGCTTTTGAAATTTCTCTAAGTAACAAAAAAAAAAAAAGTAAAAAATTTTAAACAATTATCATTGTTTAAAGTTTTCTATAATTATTGAAAATTTGAATAATATAGTATAACTAATAATTTCTTCAACTTCTTTCAAAAATCGTAATTTATAATAATTTTTTTTTGCTTTGGAATCCATGAAACATGGATTCTGTAGGAATATAATTCAAGTAACTCAGTTATGAGAATTTTTACTTTGTTTGATTCTTTTTTAAACTTTATATCATAGATGGTGCATTTAAATTTATTGTGTACTTATTTCTTTCAGTTTCTCTGATATAATATTTTATATTCTATCTGATTAAGTAAATTCCAGAAAACTTGCCATTTTCATTATTAATTGTTAATGATGTTCAAGTTTTTTGCATTTTTTGAGCAATTCCCATTCAGGTGGTATAACTAAGTTTAACATTTGCATCAAACCATATAAATTGACTTAACTTTGAATCTGCATCTGTATTAGCAACATTTTTTTGTAATTTGACTGCTAATGTTTGCTCTTGTCACAATCAATGTGACAATATGGTTTATAAGAAAATAATTTAATATGATAAATGCTGTGCAGTAAAACACTTTTCAAAGCATTTAAGGTTTGCAAATACTATTGTCAATACTATTTGTGAAAACTTGGTGTTTTTAAAAGTTTATTACTGCAATGCATCTAACAAATGAAAATGCGCTCTTAAAAACAATATTGCCACATTGATTGCAACAAGAGAAAGACTTACCAGCCAAATTATAAAAAAATGTTACTAATGCAGATGCAGATTCAACATCAAATCAATTTGTAACAATTTATAATTTATAAATTATAAACCTTTAATTTCATAAGTAATGAAATAAGTTCTGTAACTTTAATTTGTATCTTTAATTGTGCAAAAGACAAATTTTACAATGACTAGGTTTTTATAAGAAAGATCTTCATAAAAATACTTATACTCATGCCCTAAAACATCTTCAACAAGGCCTTAAAACATCTAACAAGGCTGCAAGCAATCAATATTACTGTTGGAGAGTGTTGGCTTGTTATCGAGACCGGAATAAACGGTTGAAACATTGGCGAATAATGCCACTTTTAATGTAAGAACTTCTGGGAGATTGTTGATGTAAATTAAAAAAATTATAGGGCAGAGGATCAAACCTTAAGGAACTCCGAAAGTTATTGGAAATGTAGAAGAGTGCTGTCTATTGAGGACAGGTTTTGTACTATTATTGGCAAGGAAGGGTTCAATAATCTTACTAAATAAGATCCTACCTGATAAACCTTTAGAAGAGAGCTTATAAAGAAGACCAGCTTGCCAAATTTTATCAAAGACTTTAGAAACGTTGAAAGTGATAGCTCTAGCCTTTTCACATCTATCTTATGCATCTATTTGGATTCAAGATGAGTGATTAAGTGTTTGTTTTTTAAAGACTCAAAAGTTTTGCTTATGACAGGAAGAAGATTAATGGGATGGTAGTTAAGCAAATCAGATAGCTCTTGAGAATTTAAAAAAAATAGGGATAATAGATGCCACACAGAAGCTAGAGTGATATGAATGTCAAGCAATTGATCAATCTGTTTGTTAGCATTTTCTAGTAAGATGTATTCAGTGGAATCAAGAGGCGAGATTGATGAAAACTCCTCAGCAAACATTACAGCTTTGTCTTCAGGTGAAGTAACAAAATCTGAACTATGCAAGAGAGGCGGATCAACAGATTTGCCTTTATTATAAACAATGTCAAAGATTCTTCAGAAGTCTCTGGAGTCTAATTTTTAAGACAAAATATGATTAAAAATTTGTAACCTGAGAATAGCAGGATTTGGTGTTAGACAAAACTTTTTACAATGCTTGCTAGCAATAGTAAACACACATCTGCTTCTTAGAAAATTGTTTTGGTGATAGATATATAAGTAATGGTTATAAAAATTGCAGCAGCTCAATGAGAGAAAAATTACAAAGAAGAATGAGGTTTTACTTGGAATTGTTGAGAGGGAATAAAAAGTTTCCATGTCAACCTTATTCCAAAAAGTTACTTAACTAGCACTTTAGTCAGCAGGAAGACGTCAGATTTCTATCCAAGGTACATTATAAAAAAAATCACAGAATGAGTCTCAGTTAAAGGTAGTTATAAGAGGTACAATAATAAGTGGACTCTGATGATGAAGAGGGATGAGCTAATAGTTTTAGAAAGATCAAACTCTGATCAGAAACACCTAAAGGTGAATGTGGAGAAACTGAGCACTGACTAGGATTAGAAATAAGACATATGTTGAGTAGAGAAGGCAAATGATTCAGATTATCTGGAAAGCATGTTATAAAGTTGATTATTTGTGTTAGACAGAAGAAAGGCAAAATTAGTGGGTTTTAACTCCTGCAGAGTCACAGATACTAAAACCAAGCCAATCAGAGTGATGAGCATTAAAGTCAGTAAGGAGAAATTTAATTTTAATCAGAAATAATAAAATTTAAATTTAATCAGAAATAATATTGAAAAGAGTGCAATCTTAAGATAAAGGAGAGCGATATAGAACAAAGAAAAAGGTGATAGAGATAAGTGGTGCTAGACTAAACCACATAAAAAAATAGTTTGTAGATTTGAACATAGTTTTCCGACAAATAGCTAATTTCTTACAAATTAAAAGCCCTGGGCAAGCATGTGACTATTGGAGTCTTTAGAAATTAAAGAAAGATAACCAAAAAACACTATAAGATAAAAAAGGCTGAACTGAACAAATAAGTCTTCAAAAAACAAATAGATATGGTGATCTTTGCATGAGGTATCAGATGAAAAGTTACTTTGAAGACCACTAGTATTAGTGATTGATAGACATTTTTTAACTTGGTGATTAGGATGTTTTTTTTTTTTTTTGTTTTAAAGATTTTTAATACTTATGTCATTTTTTAAATTGGTGAAAGATTTTGAATCAAAGCACAGATTGTATTTAGTACGCTATGATTAGTTGAAGCGATTGCCCTATTACTAATAATAAACCATAAGATGTAAGAAAGGGCTCCAAATGTGGCCTTGACAGTGCATACCAAGAGTATGAACAGGGGCACCATCCATGCATCACATGGCAATGTTATTCCTCTAGTTTTTTACATTTGTTGATGGAATTAGCCTTTCTGTGATCTGCCTCAGAGTATAGAAAATCTGACTACCAACCAGCTTCAGAACCAAAAAACCAAGTTTTAAAACGGTACCCTTAGGAGATAATAGAATGAGTTGCCTTGTCATAAAATCAGAGGCACAAGCTTATTCTATGCAATGAGTGGCTAAGATTTAGCATTCAACATCCTAAACTGGAAACACTGTATTTTAAATACACCTAAACCAGCCTAATAGATGAAGGAAAGCTTGTCAACAGCTAGAATCTGTTTATATCTTACTTTTAAAAATGTTTTAAGTAAAATTTTTTAAAATGATCACAGTTTTTCAGAAAAAGTAAAATTAAAAAAAAGAAAAGTTAAACGCTGTTATAAAAGTCTTTCATATCTAGATAGTTTTTGCTTCAGCCCAAACCTTTATTCAATGTTTGTATTGATGTCTGAAAAATATTTATTTCACTATAACCTCATCAATTATATTTCATGCAATTGCAATTATGCAAAAATATATGTATTCTCTTGCACTCTTATAAAAAAATTATTTTATGCAATAATAAAGTTCTTAGAAGCAAGATATTTTTTTTAACATTTGAGCCCATCAAAACACTAGTGGCAAAGCTCCAGTTTTATGATTTTCTGAGTTAGGAAAAGTGCATTCTGTTTAATGTAAATTCTATATATATATAAATAGTGTAAATTCTAGCTCCTCTAGCAACCCCATAAATAGCAGCACTTACTACTAATACGCTACTGATATTCAAATAACATTTGAAGCAAAACCTTTAATATCTCAAAACAAAAATAGTATGACTTAGACCACTTGTGCATTATTAGGCTGTATGTGTCTAATTTTTTGTTAAACGATCTGCATTTTACGTAATTATTTAAAAGTTCAATTTAAATCTTTAGATGTTAATTTTTATTTACTGCATTTGGTTTTATCATGGAGCTTATGGTAAGTATAGTTATTCTTATTGATTTGAATGGGTGACATTTGTATCAAATTTTTAAATTGTTTTTTTAAATAGTAATTGTTTTGGATTAGTTTTCATTTTTTTAGAATTTTCGATATGTTTTTTCGAAACTGCCCTCCCCTTCCAACAGAAGGATGTCATTAGCGATTTTTACACTAAAATAAAATAGCATATATAGCAATCAAAATAATATTGACCTTAAAGATTATTTTGTCATATAATACATACTTTAATAAGATTTGAAAGTTCATTTATCCTTTATATAGATAAGGTAATATCTGCCTCAATAATATTAAAGTTTATTGGGTACCTGTCTACTGATGAAGGAAACGGTAACGGTCACGGTCTCATGAGAAAAAAAAAAAAGTTTAAAAATTGGGTTTTCAAAGAGCAGAACACACACACTTCTTTTTGTACCTTTTTTTTTAATAAACTAAATTAATAGCAAAAATTAAAATTCAAATTGCTTTTCAACTACTCATAAGATTTTTATAAACTAAATTTCTAACCAAAAGTAATTATCTAATTTTTGAAAACCATATATGTATATATATATATATATATATATATATATATATATATATATATATATATATATATATATATATATATATATATATGTATATATATATCTCTATATATATATATCTCTATATATATATATATATATATATATATATATATATATATATATATATATATATATATATATATATATATATATATATATATATATTTATATATACATATATATATATATATATATATATATATATATATATATATATATATATATATATATATATATATATATATATATATATATATATATATATATATATATGTACATATATATATATATATATATATACACATATGGGTATAGGCTTTAGTCGGTCAGTCTGGCTTGCGCAAACCATTTGTTAAAATTTTGAAACGCGGCAAGCAACTTGTTAAATAAACCCTCAAATAAAAAATAAGCCTTTTTAATTGTATGTTTATGCAAAATATGCACCTTGCGCTGATGTGCCACACACTTGCAAACATATCATATGCACAACACAATACACACATCATGTGCGTACCTAAAATACGAAGTGTAATACAAATACTGTTCTAATTGGTAAAATATTACCACAAATGAAATGAAGACATGACACTGTTAACTGCAATTTGGAAATGTTTTCTTTTCCTACTTGTATTATTCAGAATAACTGTAATTTAGCATATTTCTTCTTTATGCCTTCTTATAGAATTAGAATGTAGAACATTTATATGTGAACAAACGAAAACGCAATTCAAAAGTTAGATAGAGCACGAAAAAATCAATTTTAATTTTGGAATTTGCTGGTAAATTTTTGAAATTCAAAACTATTTTTTGAAAATGAATTTTTGAATTCTAGAATTTCAAATTTCGAGATGCAATCCCTAAGATTATATTTACTTTGTTTACTTAATTGACAATACAAAATACAATTAATTAGTCTAATTGTAAAGTAAGTAATATAAGTAAAATTAAATTTTTAGTTTACATAAATAAACAATTGTAAATTACTTTTTGTAAATAATATAAATTCATTAATTTAAAAATTGTGTGAATATAATGGCAGTATTTAAATTTTAGTTTTTTTTTTATTAAAAATGAAGAGAGTGCAAGCAATTTTATTGCCCTTTGTAAATGTCAAAAAAAAAAAAAAAAAATCAATGAAGAAATACTAGAGATAACAATAAATTCTGCAGATATTGAACCTATACAATCAATTTCAAATAAAACATCAGTTTCATGTTCATCAGCATCATCTACAATATTATTGGAATCATGCACAGTACACAATAGTCAACTACCAGATTGTTGGACAGAAAAATAAGTGAGTTTGTTCACAGAACAATAAAAATAGTCAGTGGTAAAAGATGGTAAATTAGGTTTGTAAAGACTGGTCAAAAATAAAAAACTTAAGAATAGAAAAAAAAAAATTAAAGAGCATTCCACTTTATTCACACAAATTCATGCTCACATTTAAAAATTCAAGAAACAATTATTCAATCTAACAAACAAGTTTTATGAAATGTAGTTAAAATATAAAATTCTAACGCAATTACTGTAAAAACTTTCATTACAGTTTCACCATAGTCTTGTTAAATAAAACAGACCATTGTCTGATATAGAAGCAGCTTTGGAATTACAAGAAAAAAATGTTGTTAATATAGGAAATTGTTTACATTCCAGACGCACTGCTATTAGAATTGTTTAACATATTGCAATGCAGATTAAAAAAAACTGTTTTTAAAACCATTATCAATCAAAATTCAAAAATTTTGATTGATATGTAGAAGCTTTGTCAATCATAATTGACAAAGCTTCTACACTTGCTAAAAAAAGTACTTTGGTAATATATTTACAGTATGAAGTACAGTCTGCAATTGAACCTCTCATGATTTTTGTAGATTTAACATAATTAACGTCAACAACTTTACAGTGTGAAGTACAGTCTGCAATTGAACCTCTCATGATTTTTGTAGATTTAACATAATTAACGTCAATAGACTGTCTTACTTACTATGGATTTGATAAAAATTATTTACAAAGAAATCTCATGAGATTCTGTTCAGACGATGCATTGACAATGTTATTTAAAAACTTTGGCATATAAAATTCGCCGAATGGTCACACACGAGTAGTGAACACCCGAGGGAAGAAATGAAGTACATTAGAATAAAGAAGAATTATTTATCGAACGAAGCATATTTTGACAGTTGTCCAAACAAAAATAAAGATTAATAGAGGAAAATTTCAAAACAAGTAAGACAGACAATACATCCAAGCAGTACTCACTATAACAATAACAAAAAATTGTATCATATAAAAAACTAGTACGTACGAAGATATACAACAAATATAACCAAAATAAAATTTTTTTTTAATGCAAAAAATTAATAAACAAAAAACTTAAAAATAAAAAACAAAAAAAAAAAAAAAAAAAAAAAAAAAAAATATGGATAGCAATGTAAGGCCTTAGAATGGAAAAAGAACATTAATGCTAATGTGTAAACATAATTATGTAGTGATAAAGTAATAAACATCTCCTCAGAGTCGCATCTATTATTACAGGCGTTTCGATGAGGCTCAGCACTTATAACTAGTTTATCCCGTCAGACAAACGTCATCGCCACTGAAGTACAGTGAAGTACAGTCTGCAATTGAACCTCTCATGATTTTTGTAGATTTAACATAATTAACGTCAATAGACTGTCTTACTTACTATGGATTTGATAAAAATTATTTACAAAGAAATCTCATGAGATTCTGTTCAGACGATGCATTGACAATGTTAGGAAGAAAATCTGGAGTAGCCACAAAATTAACTGAAATGCTTCCAAATATAATCGTGTGGCATTGTTTGAATCACCAATTGCCATTGGCACTAGATGATTCCATAAGCGACATTAAATAAGTAAATCATTTAAAAATATTTTTTGGCAAAATATATGCGATATATCATCAGTCAAATAAAAGCAAAGCCGAATTGGAAACTATTTCTAGTGATTTGAACCTAAAAATAATAAAAATCGATCATGTTTTTGGACCTCCTGTAGCTTAGGAGCAGCTACTGCTGTGTGGAGAGCATACCCAGCGTTGTATAAACATTTTATCTAGTCCAAATCAAATTCAGGAATAGCCAAAAGATTAGCTAATACACATCTTATTGAAGACTTAGTTTTAATGATAGAAACCTTAGAAGAATTTTAAATACTATCCAATGCGCTACAATCAAGAAAAATTACCATATCTAAAGCTGATCAATTACTTAAGCGTTCAATAAGAGCTATAGAACTACACAAGAATGATAATTTTGGTATCTCAGAATATAAGAATGACACTGATAACTATGAAAAATTTGTGCAGCTCTTTGAGATTTTAAATCCTTCTACCTGGTTATTAGATAAAATTTTGTCACCACGGCTAAAAAATTATGTAAAATTTTAAATTTTAAAGTAGATGTTAATGATTTTTGTGACTTTGTAGATGCAAACATACAACTGAAAAATGTTCAGTTACATAATTCAATTTTAAGGGCTAAAAAAATAGCAAGCACAATTGCTATTAGCAGTTCAGAAGCTGAGAGAAGTTTTAGCCTTATGAATTTAATTGCATTAAAATTAAGAACCAGCTTTACTGTGGAACATATATTCAATCTAATGAAAATATATTTTTTCAGAAACCAGTAGCAAATTTCGATGCCATTCCTTTTGTTACATCTTGGATGAACCAGAATCACAGGTTAGCAATTAAAACAAGGGTAAGAGGAGCATAATAATAATGTTTCTGCAAATGAACAAGGCATATGGAATCTACATTAATTGATTAATTAATAAGACATATACATAGCGTATTATGTTAAATTTGGAATTTATCAATTTTATTGTGAAATAAATATTTGTTTAATTATTTTGTGCAATAAATGTTTTGTTTTGTTATATATATTTTATACTGTACAAAAATTAATAATGACAATGTACGCATTTACGTTTTTTTTTTTTTAAATAATAGTGAGCCGGTTGTTCAAAATTTGGTAGCCCACCTCATGCAGAGCATCATTTAAAAAAAAAAAATATTTAAGTTTTTAAACTTTTTCTTGTGTGGTTTATTAATGCGCTCTTTAAAAAAACAGTTTATGGAAGAAACTTTCTGACTACCATGCAAGACTATATATATATATATATATATATATATATATATATATATATATATATATATATATATATATATATATATATATATATATATATATATATACATATATATATATATATATATATATATATATATATATATATATATATATTTATATATATTTATATATATATATATATATATATATATCTGATATATATATATCAGATATATATATATATATATAAATATATATAAATATATATATATATATATATATATATATATATATATATATATATATATATA